TTTAATGTTTTGTTAGTCTAGCCCACGAGACGCGCCGCTGCTGCGTTATTCATTCAAAATAATAGAGAAATATAGAAGCTCAATGCGGAGAAGATCTTGAATGGGTTAAAACTGAAACCAAGCCATTCACACAGAACGCAAACTCAGCGCATTTTTTTTAGATGGACAAATATGACTGCTGCACTCGCGTCTCTCACACGAGATGTAGCCATGCACAGTTAAAACGGTTTAAACTTTTAGAAAACACGTCACGAATTTGTGGAGGTTTATTCCTTTTCACTGCGTCTCATATTATTTAAAGGCAGTCTGTGTGATCGGCACTTCGGCTCTTTGTATTAAGCAATGCATAAATACATGATGCTGTTTTGTTCATAATTGTTTATGCAATTTACGAAATTATATTTGATTTATATGAGTTCATTTAGACTTAATGCACGTTTTTTTTTATAGAGTTACTTCCTTGCGTTGACAATTTAAATGCGCTGCATTATTTTGCTCATTGTGCCCTCCTGTGGCTTTGGGAGACAAGACAAAAGTTTCCTTAAAACCTATTTAATCTGCATAAAACATTAGAAATTAGATATTTAATTTCTATTTTGTGTTTGATTGTTAAAACAAAAAAGGTCCAGGGTCACATTTATTTGCTCCTTTTCTATTTTGAATTTACTTGTACTTTTACTTTCTATACTTAAGTAAGTTTAATACTAAAAACTTAAGTACAATAAATATCACATACTTTAAAACATTTTATTCTAAATGGTAAATTTAACTTCTACCAAAGTCATTTTCTGGTAAGATATCTGTACTTTTACTGTGGCTTTCAGGTCCATCCACCACTGGTTAACAGCCAGGGTTCTTATAGTTAACTAAAACCATAACAAACATTTTGATGCAATAGAACGTTAGTTGAAATAAAAAACGATTATTTTATTAAATAAAATTATTTCAGCTCGTTGCCATTTCTCATTTTCGTTTAGCTTGATAGACTAAAATAACTAAAACTGAAATAAAATTAATTAAAACTATATAGCCTATAAACTATAAAAAAAAAAAAACTAATTACTAAAAACTTTAAAATCAGAATGAAAACCGAAAATATGAAGATCAAAACTACTTCAAATGATCTCAAAAAGTATCTAATTGTTACTAAGATAGCACTGATACCACCTCTGGAGAAACAAAGGCCGTAACCATGTCTTGAAAATGTACTTTATGAAGTAACAAAAAAACAAAACAAAACAAAAAAAAAAAGAACGGTGAAGGAAATTCTACGTTTGATTCAAGTTGGGAAGTAATTTTTAGCAAATAATATTTTAAAATACACACACATTCGCTCTTATTTGTATGCCTGATATGTCGAAAATGCAAAACATTTCTCGTCTCATCACATTCTGTTGATGGAATTACACAAATCACGTAAATTATACCACATTTTCCATTTAAAACGGCGAAATTTGAAGTGCTGCGTCCCAATTCGCATACTATCCGTCCTAAATAGTATTCGAAAATGGAATTAGTATGTCCCAAATCATAGTATGTTTAAAAAAAAGTATGCCAAAGATTCCCGGATGGTCTATTACTTCCGGCTAAAATTCGAAGTGCAGATCGATGCACACTCTAACGGCTAATATTTTAACACATTGCGCGGTGGACGAGGATTCAATTAGAACTACAAACACGCATTAAATGTTAAACTACAAACATGGCGGCTATACGCGACCAACGGACAGGTAGATAAACGGATTTGAGTGATAAATAATCAATGTCTAACCTGATGAAAAATATAAATTTAGCCTAATGTTATCCACGTTATATTTCATCTGTGGCAACACTGTGAACTTTTATATTGATACGTTTGGTCATTAACTTTTAAAACTGAGTTCTCGGCATGATAGACCCGCTACTAGCAGATCAACATGCCTCTTCATTTCTCTCCAATACGGTAGGAAATCAAATTAAACGAACTGTGAATGATGTTAACTGTGACAAGATGATTGACATGGCAGTTTAAACAGTGACAGAATGCACGTAACTAAGCAACAGAGCGTCCGTTAAAAAAGCAGCTATGATGAAGTAGCATGTCCCAAAGTTTGCCTACTATTCTTCTACATACTCAAAAGTATGTACTTTTTCTTCACAAAAAGAGTACATAATTTTAGGGCATAGTATAAGTAGGCGAATTGGGACGCAGCAAAGTAGTTTGCATTCGTTTGCATCGAAGGAAGCCCCGCCTTCTGAATAAAACAGCCAATCGCTAATCGGTAAAATCACGCATCACTGCCGCTGCCGTTACGCCCCATTCACACGGGGCGTCAGCGTTAACGCTTGACGGAGGGCGTTTCTGAAGCTTGGTGCTGATGCGACCGTCATAGTGACAACAGCCAATCACATTAGTCTTCTGGTGTTGCATGAACGCGATTGGCTAGCGTCTGCGCTAGGGTATTTGCATAAGGTCATCTGATTGGCCGATGCCTGCGTTGGCGCTTGAAGTTGAAAACTTTTGGCGATTGGCAGATGCTAGCCAATCGCGTTCATGCAACACCAGAAGACTAATGTGATTGGCTGATGCCTGCGATGCGACGGACCCACAATTAATTTCGCCAACGCTTGATGTCACTCCATTCAAAGTAAACGAGAGGCGTTGACGCCCCGTGTGAATGGGGCGTTAGAAGCTCCGGTTGCTATAGAAACAGCGTTGTGAGACGTGCGCATGCGCACTGACTGGTCAATGCTATTTGAGCAAAAGAAACAACATTCGCGTTCTGCTTGTTAACGGTAAACTCCGCCTACTTTGATTTGATTATCCATCTCAGTTATTTTGACATTGACGAGCGCTGTTAGGCTATGTTTACACTAGTGTGTTTTCGTTTTAAAACGCGTAACTTTTGCAACTGTTACGCCTGTCTTTTACACTACCCCGGCGTTTTTGACTTTCGAAAAGTAGACAGAAATGAGATCTCACCCTGCGCCAGCAGCTCTTCTCCCAGCTGAATCTCCTCGAGGAAGAACTTCTGAACGGCTTCAGCGTCTTTCAGGTCTGGTATGACGAAGTAGTATGTCCCAAAGCTAGCCTACTATTCTGCTACATACTCAAAAGTATGTACTTTTTCTTCACAAAAAGAGTACATACTTTTAGGACATAGTATAAGTAGGCGAATTGGGACGCAGCAAAGTAGTTTGCATTCGTTTGCATCGAAGGAAGCCCCGCCTTCTGAATAAAACAGCCAATCGCTAATCGGTAAAATCACGCATCACTGCCGCTGCCGTTACGCCCCATTCACACGGGGCGTCAGCGTTAACGCTTGACGGAGGGCGTTTCTGAAGCTTGGTGCTGATGCGACCGTCATAGTGACAACAGCCAATCACATTAGTCTTCTGGTGTTGCATGAACGCGATTGGCTAGCGTCTGCGCTAGGGTATTTGCATAAGGTCATCTGATTGGCCGATGCCTGCGTTGGCGCTTGAAGTTGAAAACTTTTGGCGATTGGCAGATGCTAGCCAATCGCGTTCATGCAACACCAGAAGACTAATGTGATTGGCTGATGCCTGCGATGCGACGGACCCACAATTAATTTCGCCAACGCTTGATGTCACTCCATTCAAAGTAAACGAGAGGCGTTGACGCCCCGTGTGAATGGGGCGTTAGAAGCTCCGGTTGCTATAGAAACAGCGTTGTGAGACGTGCGCATGCGCACTGACTGGTCAATGCTATTTGAGCAAAAGAAACAACATTCGCGTTCTGCTTGTTAACGGTAAACTCCGCCTACTTTGATTTGATTATCCATCTCAGTTATTTTGACATTGACGAGCGCTGTTAGGCTATGTTTACACTAGTGTGTTTTCGTTTTAAAACGCGTAACTTTTGCAACTGTTACGCCTGTCTTTTACACTACCCCGGCGTTTTTGACTTTCGAAAAGTAGACAGAAATGAGATCTCACCCTGCGCCAGCAGCTCTTCTCCCAGCTGAATCTCCTCGAGGAAGAACTTCTGAACGGCTTCAGCGTCTTTCAGGTCTGGTAACTGAACAAACACAGAGATAGAAAAGATGAAAAACATTAGGGATCGTTTTCTGTGGCTGTTTCTCGATCATGATTCACTACATCAAGAAAAACTAACAGAAATGTGTGTGAAATTACCCTTGATAATCCAGCTGTCTCCTGAACCGCCTTCTGCTTTTTTCTTCCTGAGACAAAATCACATTCATCAACTCATTAACACATCTGTCTGACGAAATCTCATCACTCCATCTGCATCTTACTACTACTACAGAAGATTAACCTGTTAACTATATCTTGTCTAGTTCACTATATCTAAGTTTAAGATGTATTATGGATGGATGGATGGATGGATGGATAGACGGATGGA